ATACAGTGTATAAAAAAAAGAAAAATTTATCCAAAATGCTTTGTGTGTAACTAAAATGGCCCCGTCTGTGTAATATATTTTTAAACTTTTAGTTAAAAAATGATCAAAACTAAACATCCTACAGTAATTTTTCAGTCTTTATTTTACAGTTAAAATATATGTTTATCAAATAAAGTCTAATGTTACAACTAATCATGGATCCCTTTAATGAATTCATCTTTTGAACAATGAAAATACATTAAATAAATCCTTTTTCCTAAGCTTAGAAATCCTCATGTGATCTGTAGTACTTAATAACAACTCAACTCTTCTTGGCGTTGCAGCTGGGTAAAGTCTACGGTATCGAGTCTCACGTCCTGTCGCCCGCCGAGACGAAGGACCTGTACCCGCTGATGAACGTTAACGACCTCTACGGAACTCTGTACGTTCCAAAAGATGGCACTATGGACCCCGCAGGAACCTGTACCACTCTGAGTCGAGCCGCCAATGCCAGGGGCGCCACGGTAATGTGGACTCGTCTAAGGTTACTGTAGATAAACAGACACTAATGAATATTTTAGTCCAGAAATTGAATGTTTAAGCTGGACAACATGGATAAAAGCGTATTTMTTACCATATTAACTATATCATAAGAGCTCACAAGTAACCTGTTATGATGACTTTTTTTTTTGAATGTCATGTTTTACAACATTTGGGTGAGTGGGGGTGGGGGGGTTGATGCTATGAATTGTGGGATGGGAACGTTACTCAGATGCAGCCTTCATTTCGGGGTTTTGTGAGAAGCACAGCCTTCGGTGTGGGATGTGGCGGAAGTGGCCAACAAATGCACAGCATTCTTCATTTTGCATGTGAATATTTAAACCCTTCCTCATCCAAATCAGGTGATCGAGAACTGCCCAGTGACCGGAATCCAGGTACGAACAGACGACTTCGGGGTTAAGAGGGTCAGGGCGGTGGAGACCCCCCACGGGACCATTGAGACACCCTGTGTGGTGAACTGCGCAGGTGGGATTCAGACAAAAATTACCAGCTCCGTTCTTCTTGTAAAGAATTCCGCTGCTGCAGAAGTCCCAGTATGTGGATAAATCTCTGCCTCCYGCAGGTGTGTGGGCCACTAAGCTGGGAGAAATGGCTGGAGTCAAAGTCCCTCTTATTGCCATGCATCATGCCTACGTGGTAACGGAGAGAATCGAAGGCATACAGGTAGGATTTCTGTCCCCACGTTCAGTTTGTCGCCTGTGCTGCTCCGTCGGCGCATCAGCCTGTTTTCCGAAAGTTGATGCAATTTCCCAAAGTCTTTTTGAAATGTTTGTCTTTTARTCAGTTTTGTCCATTGGTTGTCCACARTKTTCYGAAGCCACGCATCAACATTACAACTCGCCATCATCTCCTCGCTCTTTCAAATTACACCCMCTCCTCCAGTTTTTGCAGGATTGTGGCGTTTYGCCATCCAATCAAAACGTATGTTTCATGCAGGCTTTGGAGTGTGCAAAAGGTCTATTTGTGTTTATTTAATGAACTTACAGTGTCTCAGATGCTAATTTCCATTTAAATCATTTAAATATTTGTTGATTTAATATTGCATAAAACTATTCTTGTTTTTAGAAAAGAGCTATAAGAATTATCACTAGAAAACATTACAGTCAC